GAATGATGTTCAAAAAGCTGCGAAAACTGCTGTAATATCTACTAGTAAGGTGAAACATAAGATTCAAAAGAAAAAGCGGATTTCAGTATCATCTACCGAACTGAGAGATGCTCAGAATCTCAACCAGTTTGGCTCTAAACATGACGAAGAGCGGAGTGAGCTTAAGCCCAGGCTGATAAAAATGATCTTGAATAGTGGTGGGTAGCGATAGCAAGAGAGATGGAAAAGGTAACAGTAGATAACTATTCAGATTTATCAAGGAAATTGGAATTATGGATCCGACTGTTAGAGAGACTATCTTGGAAAAGGATGGAACTACGATTATTTCTCGATTCAAGAGATTGGATCAACGGGGAGAACACTTTGGGGATTAATTCAACTGTCCTTCAGACACATCTGAATTGCCCACGATCTCCAGTCAACCTCAACGGCAAGTTGACGTAAGTCCTCGGACTCTTAATGAAGTTGAAAAGGCTATAGCAAATCTGAGGCGTAGTTGAGCAGCAGCCCCTAAGATTATTAAGGATGGTGGTTCAGTTTTAGCAGTGAAATTGACTGAGATAGTAGGCAGAATTTGGAAACTGGACGAAATCCCATCTAATTGGCTTCAATCACTGATTGTCCCAGTTCATAAGAAAGGACAAACGACCTCTTGTAATCATCACAGAGAGATCATTTTCAGTAATATAGCGTCTAAGATATTGACTTCAATAATACTTCAGCGCCTAACTAAAGCTTATGAAGAGCAGACTCGAGAAAACTACTCTGGTTTCCGACCTTGATGTGGATATATTGACCAGATATTCACACTACGTCAAGTTCTAGAACATAGACACACGTTCAGGTGTCAGACAATAGTTGTATTTCTCATCCTTAAGGTGGAAGTCGACTCTGTCGATCATGAGGTTCTGTGGCAGTGACTGTCATCGAAAGATGTATGCGAGAAATAGATAAACCTAATACAGGCTCTCTACTGGAACACTAGTGGTCGAGTTAGAGCTTATAGCGAACTGTCATCAGAATTAATTACTTGCAATAGTGTTCGTCTGGGCTATCCTGTTTCTCCATTCTTGTTTAACTTTGTCATTGACGTACTTTTAGTACGTAACTGGTAGTTAGAGACTTTGGACTACATAGCTGAGATCGTTCGCAATGGCGTAGGTATACCCATTCTTGATCTACTCTCCAGTTGTAATCTTCTGAATCCCTCATCACCTCTTTCTCTTTTTTAAATTAATTCGACTGGGTTATGCTTCTCGAATCATATATTCTATGAATAATCTTTTTGATTACTGCTCAGACCTCCACTACCTCTACTACTATGTGCTAATGTGGTATGGCAACATGAACTTATGTACGTCTGTAAGAAGTTCTACCTTGTAGCGGACTGACTGACTGACTAAAAGGTAATATTTCATATAAAAAGAGAATAACGGATGAAGCCCTACACATATGAGTGAATCCGAACAATATTTTAAGAGAGATGTCATAAAATTAATTGTTTCGTGATAACTAATAATTCATAAGTAAACTTAGTCTCTTTTTTTCATTTTACTGGCTTACTTACTTACTCGTGTTACTCCTAATTGATCATAGGCCGCTGACCAGCATTCTCAAACTTCTCTGTCCTGGGTCTTGTTTTTCAGTTCTATCAGGCTGTTCATCGTCCGTCTCATGTCTGTATCCATTTATTAACGTAATGTGTTCATTGGTCTTCCTCCCTTTCTTTGGATTTAGGGATTCCAAGTGCGTGTTTGTCTTGTTCTCTCCTCAATTTGTATCTAATTCTCCTCCAGCGCTTCAGCCTGACTACTTCCTCCGATGGGATCTGGTTTTTTCTTTCCCCCAGTAGGTTATCACTAACGGTATTTGTACAATGGATCTGGAGTATCTTTCATAGACAATCGTTAATGAACACCTGTTCATTTTGGATGATGACCTTTGTAGCTCTCCAAGTTTCGGCTTTATGAAATAGAACTATCTTGAAGTTTGCTTTAATAATTCTGACCTTATTGTTGGTTGGCAGCGTATTATTTTCTTGATAAGTAATAACTCTTCTACATGAAGGTCTTCTAACTCCCAGGGCAGGATTAAAATTGTTTGAATTATTTGTTCTGGTAAGCATGCTTTTAGTGAGTTGGTTTTCTAAGTGCTGGGGCTGCTAACCCGATATCCAACTCTATCTCTTTATTCGGGCTTGTGGACAGCACTAACTGAAGAAGGGTTCCAGATGGAGTTAAACATTATCTGACCAGCATAAAAAATACTGATTTAATCTCACAGTTTATCAAGTTTATTGATACAGATATAACTGGAGCTTATTAAACTGTATACTAAACTATTACAGAACGTGTTTTCGTACTTGAGCTAAGTATTTACCAAATATGAAATGCCTTTCTTTGTCTGTGTTGGTTTTTTAATTTTTGACTTCATAGATTACAAACGGTAGCAGAAAAGTATGAGAATGTGCAATTTACTGCCCACCAGTGAGGCTGGCGGCTTCTATTGCAAAGTCCCATTATAAATCAAAACGGCTATCCAGTTCTCAGTGGTATTTCCCCTGTGATTACTGGTGCAACAAATACCATCTCCACATTGAAATGATTCTCATGAAACTACATCATCTAGATTACTTCATTTGTGTCGGTTATTTTAATCTTCACATCGATGTTTAGGGTTGCAACTGATCAGTCTCTTTGGCATATGCGCATCCTAATTGGATTGCCCCGATATTGCCTTCAGGTTACAAACATCTTTAGCAGAGGTAAATAGTGGCCAGCAGTGGAATCCAGCGCGTGTTATGTCCTAATTGCGTACTTATCAGCTGGATGTACCTGCATCTCAGAGTTGATGTTCACTGAATTTTTGCTTCTAAATACCAACGGTTGCAGTTTATAGTGAATAGAAATATTGGTTGAAGGTATTTCAAAATAACAAAATTATTCCTGTAATTTATAGCATAAAAATAGTAAAATTTGCTATTTATTTATCTTTTCAAATGTCAACAGTCTCAATAAATACGTCTTCATCTAAGTTTTGTGAGATAATAATTTATAATAAGCAGCCTAACAAAACTTCAAAAGTTATAAGTCCATAAAAAAAAAAGATTTTTTCAACTAGTAGAGTGATAAGATTTCAGTGTTTTATAACAATAATAATGAGCAGCTTTACTAAATGATTTAGATGGTTCTGTATTTCCTGAACTTGGAAGTTTAATTTTGAACATTTCCCTAACACTTCCCAAATTGTTATCAGTGTTCGTAGAATTAGAAGTAAACATTTTTGTTAAGAAAGGACAGTAGGGCAAGATTATGCTTTAATTTTCACTATGATGAAATTTCGTTCTATTAAACAAATGGTTTGGTTGTGGAGCTTTCATTGTTCTTTTGAACATCATCCGCACAAACTTATGATAAAACTGAAGTGTTAGAATTTCCGCAGATATGACTCATTGGTTGTCCTGTTGACCTCGATTTTCATTGGTTGTTTTTATCCTTTAACCTGTCGCTGTCCGTATCTTTATCTTCATTGTGCCCCGCTTTTATCTGATTCATGTGATTTTTACCTAATTGATTCTCATGTCAATTCAGTGTGATATTGTGCTCATCATAACATTAAATCATACGTGTTAATCCATTTAATTGACATTCAATTATCTAAATTCTCTGAAGTCTTACGCTCAATGATAACTGCATTCCTAAATTCAAAACCCGCTTTTGTGTTCTGAAACAATTTGTTATTACCTTACCAGGGTAACCCTGGTAGTCTTTAAGCTTAGGGTAATGTAAATATTTCCTATTATTTCTATGCTACGTTAATTTGTTGTCTGCTGTATTTACAATTATCACCTTATGTTTATTTGAAAGTTTATTTAATTGACCTCTGATTAATTTTCATATGAAATGCCCTAACAAGTATATGTGTAACTAGACAGTTCAAAAGTTAAAGCGTAAATACATCACATTTGTCAGATCAACTACATCCGCTCATTATTCTTTCAAAAGATAACTGTTCTGTCTGATAAATACTGGCATTAATAAACACTGAATTTGATCTAATTTAACAGAATTAACTCAAGTACAGTTAAATACTCGGGGTTTTTCGACAAAAATCTTCCTTATTAGATTTGTATTTTTAAAAAGCCAAGTCTGAAAGACAAGAAAGCTATCAAATCCTAACTTAAGGTATTGACTATGAATAGAGTACCTGCAAATTGTATTATTTTGAAATCAGATTAACTAGCTAAGTATTATCTCTATCCATAAGCATTATTCATGGGGCTGACATGATTTCAGAAGAATATTTTATTAGTAAAAGCTTCATATTGATTGAATATTATCATTAATTCATTATTTCGACCTAGTCGTAATATTATACAGTAATAGTATATAATATAAGATACAAACCTAAAGCCATGCATCCTGAATCAAAGAAGTTCAGATTATCAACACGTTTGTCAGAAAGGAGGTTCTCATCGTTACCAACAAGTTGCTCATTGCCAGTATACATTCAGATATATATATCTTAACAATTTAATTTTGTGATATGAATATGCACCGATTCATCTAATATTGATCAACTAAACAATTATTTCGAATTCTTTTAATCAAGTTTAAACTACATACGTTACACGATCACTCGTTCAGCTTCAAAGGAAACGATTAACAAAGAAGCATGTACATTTAAATAAATCTAATCAGGTTTTTTTTGATAAGAATGACACAAATTTAAATATTACAGTTTCAATCTCATATACATATCAATTATGACAGTTAAAACAAATAAATGAATTGTATATGCCAATGTATAAGTTATGAAGTGATCAAATTCTGTAAGATTTAGATTAAAATAGTTCGATGAACACTGAATAAAGTAAATGGTAGTTTAAGATTTTAAGTTGATTAGTTAGTCGACAAAAGAAATAAACATTATTATATATGCAGTTACATATAAATATTCGTTAAAGTAACTGTAATCATCATAAGTTTCTTGACAGAATGTCAATATTTAGGTGTACGCCAAACTAAGTAACATTTTTCTTTCAATCGAAATTGTAAAGATTGTTCAGGCAAATGTGAATAAGATATCCAATATGAACCATCAACTATAACAACATGCCATGACGGATCAAATGTTTTATCAAGCCATTGTTTGATCATTTGTGTCATATCTTGATCTGATAATTTTTTATCTAACAATGATCGAACAAAATCAAATATTTGTAATTGATCTTCTGGTGACATATTCTGAGAGATTATTTGTAAATCTTTCGGTAGTGGTTTATTATTGATAACGCTCTTTCGAAGAGTACGTCTGAAAGAAATGTTTTTGGAACAAAACATTAGTAAAACGATAAAGTATAATACTTACATTTTGGTAAATAATATTTTATTATCTTATATTAAGACTACCAGTGTAACTTCATCAATATGTGAGTCTATACTCTTTCAAAGGTAGAATATGATATACAGTTAAGATAAATAAAACTAAATATGCTTTCATTTGATACTAAACTCAGTAATTTATTTGTAACTTACGTTAAATTATCACATATATGACTATCCTGTTTAAAGTTGGCTTTTATTTTTTTGATGAGCTTTAACTACAACTTGATACTAATCAAAATAGCAATTGAATAAACATTTAGAATAAGTTAATATGATGGCAGAAGTTATGAGGGTTTCAAGAAGAAATATGGCACAACGTGGCTTTAACTTTACTATTATTCTTACTATAACGCAGCATATTCCCAAGTCGTTTTGAGATGACTCACATTTTTTCTACTGTAGATCTATTCTGCTTTCATTTTTATTCAGTGACTAGTGCCTTAGTTTTGAAATAATTTTGAAACATGCTGAACGTGTGTGTTGTAGTGCGTGTACTTTTGTGTTGAACCCAGAAGGTTTGTTGCAAGACTTCAGATAACTCAGCCAATCCTTTCTGCTCTATTTACAATTCCTTCGTCTTCTGACCTAGTAAACTATTTGCTTTTACCTTGTTTGTTTCTATTTCAGTATGTGTATGCTTCGCTTTCCTCGCTTATCACATTTCTGGCTTACTTTTTACTGATTAACAATGCTTAGTCATTACTCATTGCATCACTTGTCTTCACTACGTTTCGTTCTCATGTCTGTCTGAACGAACGATCGCCTTGAAATTAACTCATCCAACTAAATCCGTATTTGGTTTCTTATTACCGCCATTAAGCAAACAGGGTTGGACTAAATATGATATACGGAAAATGAAGGAGAGAATAATTTCACAGCATATTTATTAGTTCGTAAATAAAAGAGTCAGCTCACGGACCACTAAAGTAGTGAGCCTTATTTTGAGTTCAACGCAGCTCAAAAAATTGGTGATTTCGACGACAAACATAACGCAGCCAACTATAATATAGATGGAAATTCATTTTAGGGCATGTTACATGTATTCTTCACATATTTTATCGGAAAATATGTGTAAAAAGTAATGTTATCAAAATTGAATGTAATACATTCAGAATCGAATAGTTGAAATAACAACTTCACTTTACTTTATAGTTTATTCCTTCAAATAGCCTCATTTTAAAAATTAACTTACGCTTGTTCCGGTTTTACACCAAGGACATCACAAAATTTTTGAAATGTTATTATACCACTATTTGTTGGATCGAACAGTGTTTGCCATCTCTGTTTGATTAATAATTAAGATGAAAAGAAAAGCACAAATAATTACAAAAATAATTAAGTGACCTTTTTAAAAAAATAAAATATTTCTTTATTGTAATTTGGAATAAGATTTTTTTTAAGTTTTCATTATCTCATCAACAAAATACAAGTGATATTTTGGCAATACTAATCAATGTGTAAAAACTCCTTTGAATACTAGCGCAGAATGTTAACAACAGACTGTGGTAGTGTTTCATTCTCTGAGCTGGATATTCTGGTTGTGGAGCTTGCATTGTTCTTCTGAACAACATCATCAGTAAAAACTTCAGATAGAAGTGAAGCTTTCGAATTCCTCCACATTTGACCTGTAGCTTGTTCTGCTAACCTCGGACCAAGGTTATCAGTCACCTGAGCTACAAATTTTCTCCACCATAACAGTAGACTTTTATGAATCGCTTCTATTGTATTACATATTATTATATCACAGATTAGATTGCCTAAAATTTCATTAACAGTAGAGTTAGATAATATCTTAACACAAAAACAAATATAACACCTCAGTATCTTGTTAAATTTTGTCTAATTCCAATAGGAATTCGATCATTTATTGAACAACTATCTTGGGTTCATTGTTTTTCGTCCCAGCCTTGGACTAACCAACCTGATTACTATTTTATGGATAAAGCCACGGTCTTATCTCAGCACTGATAAGACGTTGTTCATTTTAACTTACTTACTTAAAGGCAGATGATTCAACTAATCATTGGATAAATTTATTCTAGAGACAGATGTCAGCTCTAAGTGAAGGTTTACCCTAATGAATATTACTGATCATTTTGTTAGAAGATAAACTTTTAAAAATTTCCAACTTAAGAAACTTAAAATGAAACTTTATTTTTAAGTAAAATCGATACAATTTTATTAAGAAATATCATTTAGAAATGTGTAAACTTTAATTGATAAGCTGGCCATTTTTAAGTGAGTACAATGGTACTTTTCAAAACAGTTATTTTTTCTTACAATTCTATAGTAATTGATAAGAAATGTTATCCTGGTTAGTTCAGCTATTTCACTCTCGTTTACGGATTAAAAGATTATAACTGAAATAAGCGAAAAAAACTATTTCTCTACTTATACATTGAACTTTATTATTTCTAAATGAAGACACATTTTATATGTGTGTGAAAAAGAGGAAATTTAAAAGAAGAGAAAAATACATGAATATATTAAGTACATATTCCTCTTCATTAATTTGTATGAGAACTGATACTTAATTTATATGCAGAAAAATGAATATTATGTTTAAATGGTATAAGTTAAGTATAGCAGATAGATGAACATTTTGTTATTTAGAGAAATGCTGATTGTCAAAGACGATTAGATTACAAATTGCGCTATCAGTTGAGACGGTGGAGAAAATTTTTAGATTAATTGTATGAGTCTAATGGAGCTAGCTCTACAATCGAAGCATCCACATGAGAGAACGAAACACCATCGGAATTCTATCAGTTCAGTCTGAAGAAATCACACAAAACTTGAGCCAGAACTCATGGGTTTTGTGAAGGGGACCAAGTGAAAATAGGTCCAGCCAGTTGAATCCATCCAGCCTTATCCACCTCAACTGTACGCATAACGATGATGATACAGAGATAATTAGTGTAGAAAGCTTAACACGGTATTAATTACAGCCAATCCTGAGGCTTAACTAAACAAAATAAATTTTTGTTTTAACACTCAAATATTTGATAATGCTTACTTTAGTCACTTAGTTTTATAAAAAGATTACAACCTAATTTCATCAGAGTTTCTGAGTTTCTGTCAATAATAATTAGGAGATATAAATTGAAAATATAATGGAAAGAAATATTTTATGATCTCATAGGTTCTACAATTTTATAACTTCTTATTGAATACTAGAAACCGTTTAGAACTCACACTTCATATCTGAATGTTGGATAAGTCAACATATTCAATGAAATACTCAATTAGAATGGGATGGAAAATTCTCTCTCTCATATACATGACCTATTGATGAACTTTTTATCCCCACTTTTCTTCTAACTTTTCGATTATTACTTAACTTCATTGAAATAGAATCCTTCCATTTACAAATTTGCTATTATATACAATATTTGAAACCTTTTAAACTTCTTGACCATACTACTTAATACCACTTATTAGGATTGTCTTTCACTTGAACAAATTTGACTATTGCCGGTAGTCTTGAAAGAATCCTCTATTTTACTATAGACTACTACTATGTGAAATACGATTGAACAGCTCTAGAAAATGGTACTGTCAAAAATAAAATTTTCTTCCCTGAATTCTCTACATTTTTATTCACTAACACAATGGGTTATTTTAATTACCAGAAAATATGTCTCAATGAAATATTATTCACTAAAAAAAATCATTTCAACAAGTCTTATGCCCAACTTAACAATTAAATGAAATCACCTGCATTTCATAGTAAATCTTTTAATAAAACATGGTATAAGCATAAATTAAGTTCTTCAAGAAAGTAAAAAATTCGTTTGTAATTGACAATAATGAAATAATGCAAAGGTAATTTATTGTTGATTTTGTTGATTTTCATTGTTAATGCTACATGTACATAGTTATCGAGATAATTTATAGCAAAATAGGCGTTTATTTCCAATTGTTGGCCGAGACCTAGTTTAGTGATTAACCCACTACCAGTTTTCACTTTTACTTTGTTTCAATTCTTTCTGATTTTCGACTTTGAAATGCTGAATAATTTTTAGCGATAATACTTTTGATTAAATGCAGAAGTTAATTGCAAACAACATCAGCACTGTACTTTAAGTAGTGTGAACTTTTTTCACAACTCATTTTGTCCGAAAAGGCTATGAATTAAATGAAGTTTAACTACCTGGCTCACTAAATCTGATGTAAATCAAAGATTTACATTTTGCTCTTAACTACATTCTATTTCTGATAAAAAAGTACAAGTTACAGCCATGAAATTTTCACTCATAATATATGATTATATCATTCATTGCCATTTGTAAATATATGATTTCACAGACCCATTGTGTAAAATAATATAGTATTGCCAACTGTTAAACGTTCTGATATTTTATAAGTATTGTCTAAACTTGTTTCTTGACAGTTTTAAAGCATAAATATTTTTGACAAAAACTAATTACAAGTCAAACATTTGTTTAAAACATAAATTACCTACCGTAATCATCCCCTCATCTAAATGATTGTGTTTTACATAACGTCTTAGTTCATCTCTTGTAATTGTCTCATTCTGTTGTTCGTCGATAGCGAAAAAGATATTAACAAATGGTTCCATTGAAGTCTAAAATATGAATCAGGTGTATATAAAAGCTATATATATATATATATATATATATATATATATATATATATATATATATATATATATATATATATATATATATATATACGTATATATAATCAGTTTAAATGCTTTCACTGATTCGCAATTTACATTCTCTCAATTATCGATTAAATTGAAGTACACTTAATATGTAAGTAGCATTAACATATGAATGTAACATTTAATAGAAAATTCAAAAGTAACGAACTGTGAAGCAAACATGTGCACGCACATAACCGAACAATTTTATTTCATCATTGTATCTAGTCCTCAATCACAAGAATAAACTGATCAAAATTAATATGTAATGGGAAATCTGTAATAATTCAACTGTTTTTCGATAATAAAAAATTTATCTTATTTTGATGTGTATATTATTGCATACAGCGACGAATTTTTTGGATAATTTTTGTAGGATTTCATTGTGAAATAATTTTGTTTGACTGAGATTTGTTTACTTTTTAGGATGGAAATTAACTCAGTATATGTGTTTCACTATTATATTCCAATTATATGGTGTTTATTTCACAAATATGAGTATGTTTTACGTCATTCCGTCAAATCTGAAAGCAAAAAGCCCCTTATTTATAAGTTACTGGTTTCATTACATGAACTATTGTACTAAATAAGTCACTTTTAATACGTTTTTATTAATACCCAAATCTTTTGCACTACAACATTGTCCAGATAGCCAATTCAAGTCAATGAGCAATAGACAACTATTCTTTACTAGTGTAGAAGTCAATGGAAGTGTGTCCATGATCGAATCAAACCCAGAACTTTCAGATCTTGAAATCATGATAAAGGACTTGTTAGTAGTTTTAACACTACACCAGAAAAGCAAGTAAAGTATTCATCATTATACAATATAGATTCTCTTCCGTATGAATCATCTTAATTCAAGTTAGTCTGGCTGAGAATCGAAATCTTGATACACTAAAATTAAACCGAGAAAAAGATGGAAATTCTTCATTAAGCTTTTACACTACTTATGGTGTTATTAGGAATATATGCCTAAAGTCTTGTAAAGTTGCGATTAAGGCTATGGATTCAGTAACATTTACATGACCAAAGTTAGTTTCAAAAACCTAGGTTCAGAGCTACAAACCTTTAAGGCCGGGGAAAATCATGTCCTGTACAACTACAGTTGGTTAGTACATGATTAAGTAACAAAGATTATACAATACAATAAATGGATTTCATCTTATGCCTTATAATCTACTGAAAGTCGAAAATTTAAAGGAGTGATTTAGCGAAGAGGGCAGCTGAAAAAGCTCCAGATCATTACTCGGTAGTGGTCAAGATGCGAAGAAAACTAAAGCAGCACTGAACTACTGGTCGAACGGCATTACGAAAGTTTAATACTGTGTTTCTATGGCATACTGGAAGACTCAAACAACTCAAGATGGCATTCAGTTTTAGGTTCCAGGGCTTTCACGATCTACTCAATTGATAGCGAACCACCATTCATAACGACCGGAAATGGACTAAACGGGCAGTAACTTCAGCATATCAGGAAGTTTCGGTCTACAAACACTAACATCAGAAAGAGTGGATCACTGTTGATACTTGTTACGCCTGCACGTAACACGCCATCGAGAATCCAACGACACGACATGCTACTCAAATCCGATTGTCTCAACCCCCATATTTAGTAAAAATAAGAAGACGTGATATGAAGTAGAACCTGTATTCTACAAGTATCCAGAAAGTATGAGGTTCGAATCCAGAAGAGAATCAGGATCCTGAACTAGGGGTCCGCGACTGGGTTCTGGTCCAGGTTATAAAACGTTACACATAATGCGTATTGATACATTTTGGTCGAATAGGAAACAGCATCAAAGTCTGTGATATTGATAGTTAGGACGACCAATAAGAAACAACATTGGAGCACGGCATGTACCAACCGTATCACACTTCACGGAGAAGATTTGGAAGATGTAGAAACCCATACATATCACGGCAGCATCACTGATGAGCAAGGTCGATTTAATGCAGATGTGATGGCATGGATTAGCAAAGCAAGTGCAGCATTTCTACAATTCAACTACAGCTAGAGCTCAAAGCAACCACAAACCAACACCTAAGTCTTAATTTTCAATACTAATTTCAAGACAGTTCTACTGTATGGGGTTAAAACAAAAGCCATCATGCGCAATATACATGTATTTATTGACAGTTGTCTTCGCGAGGTACTGAGGATGATCCGCTGGTCACACACCATCAACAACATCCAACTGTGGGAAAGTATAAACTAGATTGCAGCTGAGGAAGAAACTATGAGAAGGCGCTGGAGGTGGATAGGACACAGGTTTAAGAAAACACCCAACTGCATCACAAGACAAACCCCCACTTAGAATCATGAAGGCTAAATGAGAAGAGGAAGTCCGAAAAACATATTCCGGCGCGAATCGGAGACAGGCATGAAAAGAATGAACTGGAAAGGAAGGACTAGGATATAGTTGGTTGGAGAATGCTGGTCGGCGGTCTATGCTCAACTGAGGGTAACAAGCTTAAGTAAGTCAGTCTTTGTTTAATTAATTTGGTATGATATTCTTTCGTGATAACCTACTGCCTTGATTTTAAAATAATCCACTGAAAAGTCGACTAATATATTTTCGCTTTTGTCGCTTACCTATGATACTTTTTGACTTCCTTATAAATATCAGGAAAATCTATGTGTCAGTTAGTATATACAGGGTATAAACGCCGTTTTATTTTTAAAAATTGAATAAAATTATCGTTCGACATCAGTTCTGTTCTCGTTCGTCCGTTGCTGAAATAATGGTCTCTTTTTCTTCACATATCCAGTTTTAATAGTTATAACGATATATTATTGAAATTATCTTTGCATTGAATGATATGATCATTATTAACCTCAAAGTCTTATTAATTAATCCAAGCTATTTAACAGAAAGTAATTTTCACTGAATAATTGAAGTTTAAAAATTGCAGGAATTTCTTGGGGTCCTACAAGAACTCCTCACGACGATGTTCATGAACCAGTACAAGAATAATAACTTTCAGCTCGATTAGCTTACCCCATTACGGGCTGTAAATATCTTTTCCAGTCAGCATAATCCACGATCACTTATAGAGAGCTCAATTATGAATCAAACTATGACTTTATGATTGCTTACTTTATTATTTGATTTACCTTGTTTCCAGAAGTTTCTGAACCTAAAGAGTTATCACTAAACTTACAAATAAGCTTAGTTTCTCTACATAAAGGAATGTTGACCTAAGGCTTTTAAAATATATTTCGCCTCTTTTTTTCATTGTTTAAGTGTTGAAGTAGTACGGCGTTATGGGAAGCCCCTATGAAGTTAGTAACGATAGTTCACATAGAAGTCCGTTCACTATACCATGGCTAAACTGTCCACATTCACTCTCTTTCTGTGTTTTGAACCTAAGACGTTTAAGGTCACAATAAAACTCCCGAAGCTTCAGACAAGTGAGTTAGCATCCAGTGGTAAACATATTCTGATGACTTAAAATGTTCTTTTTTAAAGAACTGTAAAGTGGTTCTCTTATAATTTTGTTTCATGTCATTTTATCTTCTATACTTTTCATTTGTATTCGATTACACTACTTACTAATATTAAGTACGCCATGTCATTTTCTAGAAATTGTATGGCCTGTAAGGCACAGAACCTTTTTGTATCTATCGTAAAATTAAACAAAAAAAGCAGTAATGTACATACTTTGTTAACATTCAAACTACTACTCAGTGATGTCTAAGTAGTAAATGAATTTCTTTTTGAAAATATGCTTCTTCTATTAAAAAGCCTTGTTTCTGGTGGTAGTTTTAATGTAACACATTCCGTTGTACGCTACTAACAAGTATTGTTAACAGGTTTTTTTGAATCAAAGTTTCAGATGTATGTTGGCAGTAGTCATCTTTCTATGACTTTATCCTCTCTCATTTGATTTCAATATGATGTATTACTCTGGATTTCAATGAGTTCTGATATATGACTGATCTAACCTTCAAAAGTATTTCTAGACTACCTTAAGAAAATGTTCAGATGGCCTGCAACAACAGTTCAGTTGCTGAATTTCTATTAGCGAATAGAATGGCAAGCAGATGACAGATGTAAAAATGTTATCAAAGTCAAAGAGACCACTAATAACCTCAAAAGTCGGTTAACTGAATGCCAAGAAACGTTAACTTCCAATGTATTTCAATATTATCATCTAATGATATCAGTTAAGTTTATTGGTGTTACTAGGAGTAAGTTATAGACAGCCTTTCCTTTTGTTTTTATTTAATCCATGGTATGTAAATTTGGACGGACTTTCTTTTTCTTGAACGTTAAAGAATTAATCGCACATCTGTTGCTAAACTCGTCAAATTTAGATAGGTAAAAGAAAGCACTGTTTCTGTAGAAGTGACCAACAAATGAACGGTTTTCGATCAACTTCAGTTACAGTGTGAAAATGACTGTTATGTTCATTGTCACTTTGTATACAAACTCTCTCTCATAAATTGATTAGCATGGGTTTCTAATTTGACAGAGAAGCTGCAAAGTTAGGTGCATAGAATAATTTTCTTATGAGATCTCGAATACAAACTCTTGATTGTCTTTGACAACTCGCGCTAAATGTCAAATGGTCTTGATATTCGTTTTACTGTTAGCGTGCCAATATACATCCGTACAGTTTTCTCTTCACTGGTCTATGCTTTCATACCATGACTTTTGAAAATATAAAATATGAGCACGTAATTCTTCTTTAAAATTTGCAGTAGACTCACTGAGTATTAGATGATGAAATCAAGCATAGAGTTTTGGGCACATTTCGTTTGTCACTCAAGCATAAGCTAAAGAGCGTTGTAGTTAGGCATGGTAAAACCCTCTAAATCAGTGTCTCAAGGTTCTGGGCATAAAAGAAAGTTTAAATGTCTTGGTTAATACCAACAGCATTACTTTGTATTCATGAAAGTATGAAGTCAAAAACAGGAACAAATCGACATCTATTCTTTCAACGTTTTCTGATTTCTCAAAACGTTTTAGTTAGTTTGTTAGTTTGTCTATATAAAACCGTATTTCCTTCTTTAGGTTTATTGTTATCATAATGATTACTAACTTCTTACTTTTCACGCTATTATGAAACGGATTATAGTAACATGGACCCAAATATATTTCTGGTGGTTTTTCAGGGCATTGACCCCTTAATACCATAATTAGGCGAATCTGTATTAAAAACTACATACAGTTACACTGCATTTAGTATTTGACTAGCCGTTAAATCAAGGGTACGATTTCTTGCTAAATTGTGATGCATATACGTCCAACTGTTAATATTCACACTGAGATGATGATTGATTCACAATTACATAAACATCTAATTTTAATCAAATAGTATTCCCCTTCATAATAGTTTTCAACTATTGACTCCAGGTAAACACAATTTAAACGTCCACAATATTGTTTTGTAATTTTATTCAGAAATTTTGAATTTCTATGTTTCCGCGCCAGAGACGCTTAGCTGAGCTGGGCGCTTAGGGACCCTGAATTTTCCGAGTGCCCATAGAATACATTCTCTTCGCCTTATCAAGACTTCTTGCTCCAGCTAGCGGGGCCTGGCGCAATCGGATAAGATTAGCCATTCCGTTTACCGAGTGAGGTGAAATCGTAATAGTTTCAAGCATATCTGTCCAACAGATGTTTATTATTATTTTACTGTTAGTATGTTGATTACAAAAATAAAAGAATTTTCTAATTATTTTTGTCTGGTCAGCTTCAATGGCTTTTCAGGTTGTTAAATAATATGCATAATTTCTGTTTGACCAGGATGCAAGCCAGGGGAATGGTGACTTCCAGGACTGGTTTATGGATTATTATTATTATTATTTTCGTTATTATGTATTGTATTATTCAGCAACTAGATTTTATATATTCATTCCGATTAACTGATTAACTGCTGTAGTGTGATTAAATAATTGTAACCTATTGCTGGTTTATAACTCACAGTCTCTCCGATTCAGAGCCACGTTTGGCTTACTCATGTATAAATGTACTTTCTCACTTCAAACTGTGATGTGGTCCAGTATGTTTTGGTATATGAACTATCTACTTAAAACAAAACGAAATTTTATAGAGTCTACCAACAGACTTCCGGGCAAAAAGGCAGGGTAGAGGGAAATCATCTATGGCATTATGGAGCAGTAAGGATTTAGGGCTGACTCAAGGTTTCTGCTACTAAGAGAAATTTTGATTGATGTTTTGTGTTTTGTGACGTGATACTGGCCAATGGTTAATAATAAATTCAATGTAAGTAAAGTAAAGTAAAAGTAATTTGTGAACAGAATTTTATCGACAACATTGATTTCATTGATAGGAGGTAAGTGTTAATAGTTATGTACTAAATACATTTAACACATTATTCAAATATATGCAAAATATTGTTATTGCCATTAGAAAAGGTAAAGTGGATTCGTCAATTTAAGAAATAACTTTCTGACAGGAATTAAAAAGATACCAATTAAATTTGAATATTACACAGTTAATGAAATTTATTTCTTCAATTTTTCTTCATTGTTAAGAGCACAATCTAAAAAGTAGTTTAAATCGATTGTAACTTATCGGGTGTGCCCCAAATTAAAAAACATCTGTCTCGTAGCCGAAATTGAAATGATCGATTCTCTAAATGTGTATATGATGTGCCATAAGCTCCACGTAATACAACGACATGCCATGTTGGACCATACGTCTTATGTAGCCATAATTTTAAACGATGTGCAATCTCTTTATTATCCAATTGGTTAGGTGGAGACAATAAACTTCTGGCTTGATCACTTATTTGTTTCTGATCATTAATATTCATTTGATGTGATATAACACTGATGTCGGCTGGAAGTAAGTTGGATGAACGATTTATAAATTCATCCCTAACCTTTCGTCTGTATTAAAGTAAGACGGAAATGAAATAATATCGATTTCGAAAATAGTAGATTGTTGACAAACACTTGGTAAATATGAAACGTATCGTTTGATTTAATACTAAATAAAAATGGAAATTACATTGAAAATTGAAGCCGGAAGGTTGCTAATTGTAGCACAGGAGACTCTAACAAATAATTAAGAAATATCGACTTTAATTTTAATAGCCTTTTTTTCATTCAATGTTTATGTAAATTTTAGGTCTCAACACATGATAGTTCCGATAGTCGACGATTGGTTCACATTGTCCTAATCAATCAATAAAAAACTAAATTGTAAATTGTTTTATTTCTTAGTTTGTTTCAGTGAAAGATTGTATATTTTGTTCGAAAATTAATGTCATTTGTTGATGAAAATCTTGTAACTATGAACATACATTACCATTGTTGACTAACTTTAAAATGTATTTTTCAAAAGATCTAATTACTTTTCTGATATTTGGCTGTCAGTCAAATTCAATATCAGATAAATAGTTATCCGCGGTACTGTTGATGTATTCAGTAGTCAAATAATATAATTGCAAATCACTACCTATGACAATTGTAGTCTTTGTATGCTTTATTGAAATTCACTACAAGGAAGACATAAACTTAACCAAATAGCTGACTTATTCTATGTGTTAATTTTTTTTCATACTTTTTACTTGATGCCGTTTTGCGATGAAATTTGCCTTCTGACAGGCTTTCTGATAATCAATCATTCATTTAATGGAAAGACATAATTTAATAAGTGTTTTTAATTCCAACTTTAAAACTTACGCATCTTCCATTCTTACTCCTAGTACATCGCAAAACTTTCCTAATGTTATATAACCAGTATTCTCTGGATCGAATAAGTTTCCCCAGTTCTATGAATGGTAGGAAAAAAGAAATATATATATATTTTTAAAGAAGTTGTTTAACTAGTGCAAGTTTCAGTACTATCACTGTTTTAATGTAACATTAAGTAAGTGAATTCAACGTTAACAGTTTAAGAAATTATTCATAAATTTTAAAAATGTATTACAAATTATTGTTTGTTGTAGTTAACAACAAAAATCATACTTTGTTACTTGTGGCTTTGATGATTCAAGATTTCATTGGATCTAACTTAATGCAAAGTGGTCATACCACAAAAACAACAAAATTATACAAACAAGATAGACCAAATATTCTTTCTATCTGTTGCGTACACACGCAAACAACTCATTTGATATGCTTGAATTATTACAAGTTTACCTTAGTCGGAAAACGAGAGCAAGGATCGAGGATCCGGCGACACGACAGTCTACTGTACTCCGACCGTCCCAAACCCCCATTGAGTACAAAAAGAAGACTTGATATGAATTAGAACCTGTATTCTACGAGCATCCGGAAAGTACGAGGTCCGAGTCCCGAAGAGAATCAGGATCCCAGATTAGGAATCCAGGTCCGGGTCCGGGTTATAAAACGTTACAGATAATGCGTATTTATACAGTTGGGTCCAATAGGAAACAACATTGAAGTCTCTGACACTGACAGATAAGACGACCAATGGGAAACAGAATTGAAGTACGTGACACTGAAAGCTAGGACGACCATTATATTGACCAGTAGGAATTAACTAGTAGGAATTGACCAATAGAATAAGACTTCCAAAAATAATTCTGTTAGGATATTTATCAAATATCCTAACACTATCCAGCAAATATGTGCTTGCAACTCTGCTTATTCATTAAGTACTGATTTATACGCTGTGCTTCGAACCGAACAAGAGACATAGTTCACATATCTAACCAGTAATAGGTGAATATTCTTTGAAGCTTCAAATTGGCTGTTAAACTTGTCTTTTAATCGTTTGTGCGCCTTTATCTGCGGTTCATAATTCGCAAGCTGTTTTGAAATTAGGTTTATGAATTGACTCCACACTCAGTAACCTAATCAAATGTTAGGTAATACAGATTGATAAACGAAAAGAAAACTGTCACTCCATGACAGTTAAAATCAACAATAAAATCGCCTTTGATCTGTATGTAGATCAATGGTTTTCAATACTATGAGAAATTTATGTTAGTAGATTTGGTTGAAATGAGTTATGAAACAGTTCTAATCAAATGTTCCACTTAACATACCCAATTTATAAACATATCTATATACTATTGATCTTTTAAAAAACCTCATACTAATCAATCAAAGATAACTGATTTAAAAAAATTTATATTCTCAAACTTTTCAAAATTTCTGCAAACTAATAATTCAATCTTGTTTTAATATGTGGGTGACAAAATGTTACTTTGTAAAACGGGATTGGGCTTAGTGAAGCAAATAATACAATAGCTCTCATATGATTTTATTATAAAGCCGACATCAACTAACTAAAGAAGGATTCAAATACATAGGAGCTGATGCTTTTTTATTAACACCAACTTACAGTTTCATTGAAAAAAGAAAGAAAAGTGACTGTTTGAAAATGATTAATGATCGGAGTATTTCAGCTGATTGAACCATGAATCAAAATAATTTTCTTACCAAAAATTTTTATAACACAAATTTTAGTTGTAAAATTTGTTTGTTTTCAACATTTTCATTTTACCGATAAAAATAACATCACAACTTTCGTCAGAAGGTAAAACTTAGGCATGTAATTTTCGATTCTTACTTATTGTAAGATCCATTTTTGAAGGCTTTGTTTGTGAAAATCCCTCCATGTATACATTTGTAATTTGTCCTTATTGATTGCTTCAGTTCTACATTTTGATAATCTATTCGATTCCATTTTGAGATGATAATATTTGTATTTTATTATAGTTTCTACTTCTTTTGCCTTCACTGAGTTTCTGTGTTTTTTTCTGAACTGCATTTATGTTGTTTATGCTGATGCTTGGTCATGGTGACAGCCATACTCTGCAGAACAGATTAACGAAAGTAATTAGTAGAACATTCTACGCAACCAAACTTGCGTTGACCTTCTCAAGTCGACCAGCGATGTCTACCCAAACGAAGGATAAGTTACCTGAGTTGACCTCCTCTATGTGCATTTACAAATTCAGCTGCTCCTGTGGAGATAGCTATATCGGGCGTACTACCAGGCACCTTAACCAACGAATGAGTGAACTCCTCCCAGCATGGTTTATGAAGGGCCAGTTAAAAACAATACGCAGCTCTATCTCGGCACATCTGGTTGCTAGTGGCTATACTGTAGATAAGTTTAGATCGTTTCGACTGATCTATTGCATACCTCAATCATTTCCCAACGGAGTTCGATCCCGTCTTCTACACGTAGCAGAAGCCATAGGAATTCGTACATTCAACCCCAGTTTATGTGTTCAGAAGAAATTCGTGACACCCCTATCTCTTTCGTGGCTGAATACGACGTAACTGACGATTGACATTATACTTTTTTATGTTTACACGTTTGCTTATTACGTAATGGTTTTGATGTTTTTTAATGATTATTTGAAGTCTATTCATTCAAGTTTGACCTACTATTGATAAAACTTCAGTTATCATATTTTATAATTTTCTTACTACTATCAGTACACCTGTCTTCCTACTATCCACTTGTACTTTTGCCTATTATATGTAGTGACGTAATCTATTTCATTTCATTGTGATTACTGACTCAAATTGCCTTGATTGGTTCGACATTTTCATATAAATATTCATGTATATTAGAGTAAAGCCTGATGACGATCTAATCGAAAACAATATTGTTCGCTTATATGTGTTGTTCTAACTAAAGTATTGTATATGAAAGCTTAGACATTGAGAATATTGAATGGAGATTGATGAATTAATAAAAATCCAGCATATCATAGTCGTCGTCACTCTTCCATTTCATATTAAAAGATGATAAAAGTTATTCACCAAACATTTACCTTATCAATAATAACAATCCTATGACATCGTTCAACAGAGTAATGAACAATTTCTATTGAGCATCAACCAACTACACATAATACAATCGATTGATTAGTTTTTTTTACAACAACAACAACAACAAAAAAAACACCCCACTTACTTCAATCATTTTTTCATCCAAATTATTTCTTTCCACATAGTTCTTGAGATCACGCATACTGATTTTTTCATCACGATCAAGATCCACAGCAAAAAATGCATCTAGAAATGGATCCATCAAAATGAACAATGAATGATTTCAAAGTGAAATACAAATAAAAAATATTCACTGATTGAAAGTGATTTACATCAAATTCAATTGTATTTATATACGGCAACATTGTTGACTGAATGCATCCATTCATAGTACAATATGATTGATTTTTTTTTAAAATTTGATTTTATTTGATTTTGTTCAACGCCTATTGGAACAATGAAAATGTGATATGCAATTTTATTGAAGTCTAAATTATGCACAAGTATTATGAGACGATACAAATATTTACTAACTAAATTCACATTTGTCTGTATGTGTGCAGATAGTAAATATAAAATAGGAACAACTCTAATTTGTTAAAGAAATTGAAATAACCCATTTAGTCAAGAATGCTAATTTTATACTTATTCAGATATCCATATGATTAGAACTTCATTCAGTAAAAATAAATTCCGAAGATGATTTTCATCGCTAATTCACATTGGTCAGTGAACTGTTAAAAAAATCAAAAGAAACTTCAGCAATTATTTTATATTAACTCATGAAACATATTTGTAGCTCATTTACAATTGATCACTCACGGAGTAGTAACTTATATCACATGTCAAATCCTTTTTATAGTTTATCCGATTCTGTCGATCGAGTTACTATATGGTCAATACTTTGAGAAGTCGACCGCCCTTAAACATCAATCTGAGGCTCTATATTCTCTGAGTCGGATAGTTTAGTTGTGAGCCTTTAAATGTCATACTAAATAATATTATCAATCGATACTTTAAAAGTTTGTCAAATTATTGTTTTGGATTATTATTTGCAGCTAATGAAAAGTTCTGAGTTGGAATAAGTTGATTTTATGTCGGGAATAGTATTGTTCTCACTTTAGTAAATTAAAAAGTAATAACTTGGGTAAAGAATAGAATATCATTTAAAGGTGTCTGAATCGCAAGTAGTCTGTTCAGTTTCGCTCTCTCAATTAGTCACGAGGCGCATAAGAATATAAAGCACTAATCGACAAAAAGTAATTATTTGTATGAGGACTGGGACATTGATGAATTGTGAATAGAGTATCGAATAATGATTCAAATAAGATTATGAAGTAATTATAATCATGTGCAACTAGTGAAGGAAGATGAGGCGAACAGAGAAACAACATGCATTACCATCATAGGTCTCTCATTGTATGTGTGCTAGGTTGTCTTTTGACCTATTTATCTGTTAACAAATCAAAATGACTAGACATAGTGTAACTGTATATATATATATATATATATATATATATATATATATATATATCAACCAACCACATATTCAGCTCTCTGTTCAACATTATCTTCATAACTGCTTATTGTACTAAGAAAAGCATCGATTCATTCAATACCATGAGGTTTTTAATGGTTCTTCATCAATGGAATACTTCCTGTGAATATACATCACAATAAATTTCCCTTTCTACAGTAACTTTATTTCATTTCTGTAATAATCTGTTAATTCAAATTATCATTTTATTTATTATTATATAAATTTACCCTGTATTGTCAAGGACAATTTTGTATTAGTTTTCAGGAGAACCGAAGAGACTGCACACGTTTTACCAATGCTACATGAAAAGTTCGGCTCAATCCTGTGGTGCAACCACACAGGTACCTGATACCCTGGTGGACCATTCACACCATTTACACATATACGCACTGGTATAAATATTTCCGATCCATGATCGCTTCAATCAGTATGCACCGCATGAACAGGCCATTTCGACCCATCCCGCTTACATGACTGTAAAACTCATTATTATTAGTAATGGTGATATGTAATACAGCACCCCAATGACAATGGCCCTCGGGAATGTTGCAAAACAACCACCTATATCAATGAAATCGGTCGCCCTGCTAACCAATTTTGTATATGGACTGTTAACAATGCTTACCAAAGCAAAGCAAAGCCATCCACAATATTCACAGCTAACCTCTAGTCTCATAGGAGACCTTCAGCTCTATATAGCAGTATAGCATATGGTGTACACATATATGTGTTAATTTAAAGACTATAATTAAGCATACTCTTTAACTTAACATTTAACAATAATACATACTGAATCGAAATCCAAAAGTCATAGATTTCAAAGAGATGTGATTCGTCTGCAAGACCCTGTACTTGTCACAGAAACATGTACATTGCAATAAATTTTACAAATATTCAATAAAAGTCTAAGAAAAAAATATATAATTTAGCATAATATACACACATGATCAGCTTTATCATGCTTGATATTGTTTTTTTCTACAAGATCATCAAAATAAGTAATTCAACAGATTTACGTATGAAAAACAATTGTTGATCATAAGATTGTAGGTATTACAGTAAAGCCATATAATTTAGAAATAAACAACTACTCTAAATTATTGATGATTTCTAGGTTGTTTATAGCTAAAGTAATCAGACGTGTAAAAATATTTCTATTCATTGATTTAGTTTTTAACATTTCGGTTGCGTTGCACAAACAAAAATAGTCTTAAGCAAACCATGATAATATTATTCTGTTACATTGTGATTTTAGCGTTAAACAAAATGTATGTACAAAGAATATTTGCTTGGAATTTATGATGGCAGTTGCTCATAACCATAGAATTTCAATATTATTTAAGTTAATGAAGTGAAACCAATAAATACAAGAGATCTTAGTAGTTTTTAACCAATCTGGGAAACTCATTACAACAGTAATACTTGATGGAAACAGAATACTTAACATGATTGTTAATATGAAGTGTTGGATTACTAATAAATTCATAGGTGAATGTATTTTAAGAAAAAAAACTTCAGATCTCTTTCAATGTTTATTCTTTATTTATTATATCAAAATTCATTGACTCGGTTACTTAGTAGCAATTAATGGCATATTGTTTAGTTATTAATAATGACTGAACTATCGACCGTTCAATTTGTACAATGAATAATAAATAGCCTTTAAAATTCAATATAGAAGTCATTCTTTGATAGAGAAACAATAAATAAGAAATGAGAATTATATTTTATTACTTCAAAAATATAAGTTAATTATGAAACATTTTAAATTTAAATTGATAACAAAATTTAAACATTCACAGTTAATATAGGCGAAGTTCATGAAAATTTTGATTGAAAGTGATCAACAGTGTAATTCCGTTTTCATCGAAATAATTAGAAATCGAAATAAAATATTCTAATGTAGGTAGGATCCTTTTATTCATTTGTACGATAAATGATGAATGAATGTTGATTGATTTTAAAGTGAAATGAATGATTTGGAATATGTGTATAAGTTGTCCAATATGAACCTTTGACAATAGTCACATGCCAATGTCGACCATATGTTGCATCAAGCCATCTTTTAAGTTTATCTGAAGCTTCTTTTTCCACAAACCTATCTTGTGGTTGAGTAAGTCTATAGGCTTCTTCTGATATTTTGATTTGATCTTGTAATGGTAGTTCTTGCATGATAACTAAGATTTCAGGTCGTAAACCTGTTGAGGGCACTCCATACAATGGTTTCTTGATTGTAATTTGACTACAAAAGATATGGAATATATATAATATCACAGTTCAGAAAATAAAAAGGAATAAAACTTGTATAAAAAAGAATTAGGTAATCGAATAAAAGTATTCTGGAATCAATGTTTATTAAAGTTCTTTCTGAAAAACAGACATATATTTATTTTGTTGGCTGACAGAAGCTGAGAGACCTTTGAAATTCGAATAGTTTGGTTTCATTGTAGCTCGAAACTTCTTTCAGTGTAGACCAGCTGATTGAACTCAGGGTATTTTAATGACCATTGTTACATGAGTGCCTTTAAATCTTGTTGTTCAGACTTTTACGTCAGTCATGGTTGTTGGCATCCATTTTCGAAATATCTCGAGCTGGAATATAATGACTATCCACTACGTCTTGCTTAGTTCCCAAATCAACATAATCTTTTTCATGTATCATAGATATATAACTGGTAGGTTGCTATTCATCACCGATCCCTTTTTTAGACACACTTTTAAGAAGTTTTTATTTTATATAGAAAATGTGATTGGAAAATTTATGAATTTTACTAGGTAATCTATGATTACGTGAAGTTGCTTTTCTGTTACTTAGCCAACTTAGGTCACAGGTTTCGTACGTCACAAGTATCAAATAATTTATCTGGAGATGAAAAAGATTATCCAATAATTTCAAATGAGTTTAGTTGCAGGAAGAACACAAGTTCGTCAGAAATATCAGAGTACACATTTCAGTCACAGAGATTAGGTTACAGATTGAATTATGTGGGTAAAGTTACACTGCAGACTGAGTTTGACCATAAAACCATTGAAAACCATTGAAACCTGTCACAATCTAGATTACGAGTCTCAATAGTTGAGAGATTATATATATTTATATATTTATATATATATTTCACACTTTTTAGACGCTTTTGAAACCTGGTCATTAACCATATCCTGAACTGTGATGATATTATTTCAAACAATGGATTTTTAATGTAGTTATTTTATGCAGTAAACGAATAATGCATAAATTTAAAATTATGCCCGGAAATTTATCAAATTGACTTACGGTCTCTCCGGTTGAACTCCAAGAACCTCACAAAATCTTCGAAAAGTTATCTTTCCTGTTCCCTCAGGATCGAACAGTATTTGCCATTTCTTAAATTGAAAAACAATACGACATGCAAATATATCTCATAAAAATCGAGTAAGTAAATATATTACTATATATTTACTCAGTAGCATCGTAATAATAATGGTTTAATTATTGCTAGTAATTAAAACAATGATGTTTTCAAAGTAAAATATAATATATAATGATAAAGCAACCATATCTTATAAAAACACTTTCCACTTGTTGTAGTTTGTACAAAAATAACATGTCTACATTAATTCATTCTATTTCATAGCTTGTAAAATGTAACAAGCAACTTAAATCATCAATGAATAAGAAAGTTGAAAATTTCACATCATTTGAAGCTTGGCCTTTCTTTAAAATCATAGATTGACGACCAAACTATGATTCGATAAGTTCGATGAAATAGTTTTTGTTTTAAAATTTTCAAGTTGAAAGATTCTATTCTTTTGCTAATGTCAGAAGAAAATAGTTAGTACTTTATGTTTTAAGGACTAACTGTCATTTTGCAAACAATAACTACACACTTTTCCAATCATTAGTATTGATTTAAATTAAATCAGTTCGACAATTTCAAGCTGTTCAACTTATAGTTTTATTTTATTAATAATAGAATCCTTAGGTACGAAGAATAAGAAAATTTGAATTAAGAGTTTGGTAAGTTGAAAATTACGTTCAATTGTCAAATAAAGATAGAGATATTTCCCCGAAATTTGGAGAGTTGAACTATTTGAATATGGATGGTGGAAAGAGCCCAAAGTTATCGAAAACTAGATTGATAACTGTTTGTTAACGTACTTTCTGATTATCATACAAAAAAGAGTATTTTCAATAACTTCATAATATTTCAAATACAGTTGTGGAGTCAAGAAATATTACAAAAAACTTAAGTGAAATACTATTGCAAATTGTACCAAGTTATTTACAACACATTATATTACCTATATATATCAAGCAGTAAAGTTGGCTTCAGATTCGTTATACAATTCTAAATAGTATATTTGTTTAAAACCGACTGTAAATTGTACATGAAGTAATAAACATTTGTTTTAAGATATTTATTAATCTCTATATAAATAAGTTATCTCACCAGTTGACGTAAGTAATTCTTATTACATCATACCAATTTCTTAAGTTCGAGCGTAGAATGTGGCCATGTGTTTCCAAGCAAAATGCTTGATAGTAATGTCAGTGGAACATCATCTTGTATCGTCTACTCTCTGTAACGGGCTTTTAATGATTGACTAAATATTATTACGATATAATCATCATTATTTAAAAGAAACACCTTATTTGTTTCAATGTTGAATTTTCAAGTAAGTTTCAAATTTATAATAAACACTAGTGTAACTAAAAGAATACTGAGTTTAAAATCTTTGTGAATGTATGATCAAGTTATTCGTTAGTAAATTAGGTATGAATAAAAGAAAAATTTATTTTTCTAATTTAAATATATACTCAATTACCACAACCTGTTGTTCATAAACATATTTATAGCATTCAACCGTTAAATTCGAACTTTCATTTCTCATAGAAATAAATAAGCAAAACAGTTAAGCATGGAGTGCATTTATACAATAAACGCAAACCATTTTAAAACTTTATAGCAGTAAATAACTCTTTCTGAGTTTTTCAATGAAGAACGACTAACTACGACTCAATAATGGAGTGTAAATAATTCTAAGTAAAGTTTATTGTCAGTCAATAAAATGTATACAAATAGAATGTGATAAAACAAGGAAAAGCAAATACAAAATCATTGAATACTGAAATTTTTACTGACCAATATCATTTCTTTATCTAAATGATTCTCTGCAACATAATTACGTAGTTCATTAATTGTGATGACATTCGCTCCTCGTTTGTCTATTGCAGCAAATGTAGTAATGAATGGTTCCATGGTTTTGTGTTCTCAAATTCCCTGTTTCTACGTTCTCCTTCTAATGTAACGTAGTTTATTACAGATTTTGGTGGATATTTATATGTATATATATTTTTTTAAATGGTGAAAGGAAGTTTTGAATAGTTAAATTAATTGATAGGTCATGTAATGAAACTTATTATTTTTGCCTGTAACTTGTGATAGAATCATTTGATGGTAGATCTTGCATTATGTTGACTTCTTTTTTTCTCTTTTTATGAATAATTCTTTGCTGAAATATGAATTAACACATGACAAAATGGATAAGATAGTTGTGTATTCAATTATTTTGATTTTTAATACAGGAAGAGCATTGACTCAGAATGACTTACACAATCTGGTCACATTAGTTATGAATGAGTTTGATAAATGCTTAACAGAAGCTCATGTAAAAAAATGTGAATAGAGAAACCAAAAACTTTGTTTTTCAGGATTTAATAAGTGAGATTATCAAACCTCGAAGTGAAATGAAATGTTTCTATAAAACGCCAACAAACTTTAGTCGCGTTGACGTGAGATAATACTTACAATAATTGATGATAGCAAGACTGAACAACGTGTTAGATGCATTTAATTTACAAAATTTTTCAAATCTTAAGTGTAAAAACAAAGATAAAACCATATTTGGGGGATGTGTATTGCTGATGAATCCTATACAACAAAAAAACGGCCATCCAAAACTTCTAGGTTTCAAATGGTGGTCTAACAATGGTTGATTAATCATTTCAATAAAACGCAACCATCTTCACAACTATACAACGAAAATCGCTCCCGTGTATATCAATCCAACTATAATAATTTAAAACAATAAGATTAACAATAAAGTTGCGTTAAATATCCTTTTATTACATTGAATATTATTTTAAATTCAATCAATGATTCACAAATTATCACTAGTGATAATAATATAAGCAAACAATCCGAATTATCCGACAGTTTTATACAATATGCAAACTGGTTGTTGTTATATTAACCATAAAGTGGTTGGCTATATATGACTACCGTAGTAGACTGTGAATTGTGAAATAAGTTAGTCAACGAATAGTCACTTTGAATTCATTATATATCACAGGAAAGTAATCACTTACGTAGTTCACTCTTTTCTTGTTGGTTTGACGGTTTATTTTTTGAAGTAGATTCATGTACAGTCTGTAAAGATTCCTTAACGATTATAAACATGTAAATATTATTTATTAAATGGTACTTCTAGGACTATTCTTGATTAGTATTGTATTGCAAGTTGACGAAATTATGAAAAGGTATTCAGGTAATTGTAATCAAATGTAATTTGGTATCAGACTAAGTTTCCTCTGTACTCCAATATGATATGATGAAACTGTCAAGATGGTTACCAAAGTAATGCTGGTTCGAGAAGATTTAATTTAAAAATGGTTGTATTTTTAAACTCGTTGACGTATTACTACTCAATGCAAAATACAGAAGAATAAATCACTACGAAAATATGACTCACTAAACATTAGATTTTCACGGAGAACAAAAGCAATCATCAATATGTCACCTCACCTAACAAGAAGTGGAAAATAATTTTAAAATTTAAAGTATTGAATACACTTTTGCCATCGGCACTGATTTTCAGTCAATTCAACCAACACCTTTCAACGTGAGTCAGTTAATTTCATTTAATTTTGATATCGTTGAGAACAATAAAATGCACCACTAATCTATAATTTTAATTAATATCATGTAATGTCCATCAAAAGTTTTGAAATTATGAATGCTCTCACCAAAAGAAATAAAATAAAATGATTGATTGATGATTTTAAATGTGTAAAAACACACACACCTCCAAAACTCTGCCCCAAAATATCGTAACAGTGCTCACTAGTGACTAGCTTCGTGAGGAAATTCTCGGAGTTCTAGTGAGAAGACGTGACCGATGAAGTTCAACCCTGTCGGGTGTAGGCAGTAACTACCAAAGACAAATGGGTGAGGTCGCGCAGAATCCGTAGATCAATCAGAGTTAGACATTAACACCGCTCAATACCGTCCTAGTGGTCCGATGGTTAGGCGTTCGCTCACAATACCGGAGGTCCCGGGTTCGAATCCTGCGAGAAGCAGGAGTCGTGGATGCGCACTGCTGATGGGTCCCATACCAAGACGAAACGGCCGTCCAATGCTTCCAGGTTTCTAATGGTGGTCTAACGATGATTGATTGATGATTTCAAATGTGTAAAAACACAAACCTCCAAAACTCTGCCCCAAAATAAAATAAACGTTTCATGGGTTATATTTATGAATAAAATATACTGTACTACATAAAGTAAATGCTTATATTAATTATATATATATACAGCGAAATAGGTGGGTGGAGCACTTTAAGGAACTATTGAATCGACCAGCTCCACTGAACCCACCCAACATCGAAGCAGCATCCAAGGACCTCCAAATTAATATTGGCGCACCTACGATTGAAGAGATCAGTATAGCCATCAGACAAATCAAGAGCGGCAAATCAGCAGGACCAGACAACATTCCAGCAGAGGCAATGAAAGCAGATATAGAAGCAACTGCGAAAATATTTCACATTCTCTTCAACAAGATTTGGGATGAGGAACAAGTACCATCAGATTGGAAAGAAGGATACCTCATCAAAATACCAAAGAAAGGCGACCTGAGCAAGTGTGAGAACTACAGAGGCATCACTCTTCTTTCAATACCAGGCAAAGTCTTCAACAGGGTATTGTTAAACAGAATGAAGGACTTCGTAGACGCCCAACTTCGAGATCAACAGGCCGGATTTCGTAAGGATCGATCAAGGATCGACCGACCAAATTGCTACATTACGGATCATTGTGGAACAATCAATTGAATGGAACTCACCACTCTACATCAACTTCATCGACTACGAGAAAGCATTCGATAGCGTGGATAGGAAAACACTGTGGAGGCTTCTTCGACACTACGGTGTGCCTGAGAAAATAGTCAACATCATACGGAATTCTTATGATGGATTCAACTGCAAAATCGTGCACGGAGGTCAGCTAACAGACTCTTTTGAGGTGAAGACCGGTGTCAGACAAGGTTGCTTACTCTCACCCTTTCTCTTTCTCCTGGTCATCGACTGGATTATGAAGACGTCAACATCTGGAGGGAAGCACGGTATCAACTGGACAGTTAGGACGCAGCTGGACGATCTGGACTTCGCAGATGACCTGGCTCTTCTATCGCACACTCAACAACAAATGCAAGAGAAGACGACCAGTGTAGCAGCAGCCTCTGCAGCAGTAGGTCTCAACATACATAAAGGAAAGAGCAAAATTCTCCGATGCAACACAACATGCACCAACCGAATCACGCTTGATGGAGATGCTTTCGAGGACGTTAACAACTTTACATATCTGGGCAGCATCATCGACGAGAAAGGTGGATCGGATGCAGATGTAAGGGCGCGGATTGGCAAAGCGAGGGCTGCATTTCTACAGTTGAAAAATATCTGGAACTCCAAACAACTTTCAAACAAAACCAAAATCAGGATTTTCAATACAAATGTGAAGACAGTTCTACTGTATGGAGCGGAAACATGAAGAACTACCAAAGCCATCATTCAGAAGATACAAGTGTTTATTAACAGTTGTCTACGCAAAATACTTCGTATTCGTTGGCGAGACACGATCAGCAACAACGAACTGTGGGAGAGAACAAGTCAGATTCCAGTGGAGGAGGAAATCAGGAAGAAGCGGTGGAAGTGGATAGGACATACACTACGAAAAGCACCCAACTGCGTCACTAGACAAGCCCTCACATGGAACCCTCAAGGCAAAAGGAAAAGAGGAAGGCCAAGGAACACACTACGCCGAGAAATAGAGAAAGATATGAGAGGAATGAACAAACATTGGACAGAAATGGAGAGGGAAGCCCAGGACAGAGTTGGTTGGAGAAAACTGGTGAGCGGCCTATGCTCCATTGGGGGTAACAGGCGTAAGTAAGTAAGTAAGTAACAAAGGGGCGACGGTGAGTTTCCCTATCTTTACGAGTCCGTACCGTTCCGTTTAGTCGGACAGCGCATAAGTGACTGTCTACCGGGACTCACTCTAGGAGCGCAAGTTTTGGCCTAAGAGTTAATACTATACCTACGCAAGCGAGGACATAGAAAGCATCATCAGGGCCACCAGAAACCCGAAGCGTACACAATTTAATGTGTAACTCTGCAACAATATGATAACTAAAATAAATATGGATTCTTGCATTTACAGGCTATCCAGTCAGTAGCTAGAACGCCTCATTTTGCTACAAAATCGTTAGTAACTTTTTCGTATAAGCTATGCGTCATGAGCTTGTCTTAAATAAATGAAACCGGAGAATGCAGAAGGCTGAAGTCCTATTTAGTTCTAGCGCGAAATTTGGTGGTGGTGGCGGTAGTAGTAGTAGTAGCAGTAGTAGTAGTAGTAGTAGTAGTAGTAGTAATTATCTACACTGCCTATTTAGGGGATCTTATGGCAAGTGCTAAATCATTTGGAAAAAAGTGATCGGAATTCGGTAATGCAAACAATTAGTAATATACAAGAACTAATTGTTTTGTTGAGAAAGAACAGTAACTCTGATAAAGTATTATTACTTAAATATGCATGTGGTGAGGAAAATGGAATACCAATCTGGTTGCAAAGAGAAATCACAACTTAAGTGACTACACAACATCATATGGCCAAGTGGATCCAAACTTAGACATAGCGTTATAACATTTTTGTACTGAGTTTAAAGTCTTTTAGATGAAAAAAATTATTAAATTAAATTAAAAAAATTAAACAATGAACAGTACGTTCTAAGAATATCTCATTTTTACAAAGTTTCAAGCAAAAAAAATCTGCATAGATCGTGAATTAGAATATAGGAAGTTCTATGAGATCTTTGATTGTAAATTACGGTAAATGTTAGTAACTTTTGTCTGTTGAGTGTATGTGTATTGGTCGCCCTTAGTCCAAGCTGTTGTGCTGAAAGCTATTCTTATATAAGTATAATAG